CCCTTTGTCCAGTTGGGCTGCTCGTGGAGGCCCCAGGCTGGGGTCCCCCCAGACCCCTCCTGGGCTCCGCCGCCCGCTCGTAGGAGGGCGCCACCTGTCGGTGCGTTTTTGTCGGAAAAGCTGAGAGATCAGACTGTCCATCCATTTGCCTGCGTTTCCCCTCAACTGCAGGGAGGGAGTCAAGTGGGCGAGGACTTCTGATGCCCACGTCACGCCCTAACGTTTCTGGCCGTGGGCTCCAGGCGTCAGGATTTGTAAACACTGTTCAAGTCGTTCCAGTGTGCCAACACGGTTGAGAAATGCCAGGCCAATGTTCTGTTCAACAAATGGCTCGTAAGCCAGCGTGGTGGTGCCCTGCTCTCTCTCTCAGAGCTCCGTGCTCGTGCTCTGTCTGCCTCCCGCCCCGGTTTGCTCTTTCAAGGGCCGAGCGAGGACCCTTGTCCCTCGGGATCGGTTTTCTTCCAGCTGTCGTTAATGACATTGAAATGCTAGATTTCTCTCTTCTTCAGCTTCTTATTTTCAATTTTCTTAAGAGAGAGGGACCAGATCTTGTTTTAATTCTTTGCTTTCAACTAACAGAAAAGAATTTGGAACCTGTTTTTTTTTTCCACCGTCTGTGATTGGTTGGTTAACCGCTCTTGTGCATCCGCAGACTGACCTCCCTGGCCCGCCCGGATAGGACGGTCTGCGGATCAGTCTACGTGAGGCCTGGGGAGGCAACTGGGCCCGGCTTTTTGGATCCTCCCCCCTTCCTCTCTTCTTGTCACAAAGTTAGCTGAGAATTAAGTGATACTCGGAGACAAGTAGGGGAGAGTAAGTCGTGTATTTAAAAACCCATGCTAATGTCTTCAGTGAAACACAGTGCTTATGTAAGGTCAGCATAATTAGCAGCTTACGCAAAGGTTTCTAATTCCCAAGCTTCCTGCCGCCACTTCCAGCCTTTAGCCTCTCAGCACTCCGTGGTGTTCAGTGCTTTCGTTTTGAGCATAGTGCTTATCACATGCTTCCCCGCCGGGACTGGGCACAGAACGTGTCGGCTCTATTTTGATGGCGTTTTGGACACGTGGAAATGCAGTGGAGATTTCGTTGCTGGATCTCCCTGGGCGTCTAGCTTCAGGGGCACATCGTGGCCTTGCTGGCCACTGTTCCACGCCGAAAGGGTGGCCTTGCGTGGCTCTGGAGTCTGTCTTTCTGCCTCTGAGGTAGTCGTGACCACAGTGACTTACCTCTGACTTTGGGCCTGTCACAGAAGCTTTCTGAGCCTCGTGACCTCCTCTAGAGGTGGGTGGTTTGTGTGAGGTGCCGGATGCAAAGCCGCTGGTATTGTGTCTGGTGTGATGGAAGGGCTCAGGGAATGGGGACCTTAGTTACCCAGCTGCATTTTACCTCTTGATGCATACTTTTTTGAAAAAGCACCATCAGAACACCTTACCTCCTGGTTCCCTCCGCATGTGCCTCATTTCACCTTGCAGATAGAAACGATGACCTGCTTTAAAGTGAAATGATGTTGTTTTCCCTTCCTGCCGGAACAGAGGACTGCCTCTGTGTTGATGAGTATGTTAATAATTCATCGTTGGGGTGATTAACCTAAACAAATAAGAGAGGAAAACTTTTGTCTCTCTGTTCTTCAGTTTTGTTCTTCTTTGAACGGTGCTGCTCTAGGCGACTTTTCCCACAGGCATTGCGAGAGTCAGAGCTCAGGGTAGATTTTGTGATGTAATTTCTTCCTCCCCATGCAGAGACTGGAGCACGCTCCCAGGATGGGGGTAGGGGCATTGCCCAGGTAACGTCTCGCTAACTCAGCAGGTGGGGGTTGTCATTCGTTGCCAGCAGAATAGTCTCAGGCTTCGAGCATTCCCGTTGTCCACACCTCGTAACTTTATCTGTAATGCGTCGTAGTCAGACTCCTTTCAATAAAAGCGTTCCTGAAAAACTGTGTGCAGAACAGCGCAGCGCAAAGCAAAGGCTTACACAGGAGAGAGCAGATCAACAATGTAACATTAAGGCTTCACCAGGTGCGCTGCCTTTGCCCTCTGCGCTTGGGTGCAAGTTAGACGAACAGGGAGGATGTGGCTGGGGAGGAGGGGGGTGGAAAAAGTCCCCCGTGAACCTGAGGTTTGTGGGGGAGAGCGAATAAAATCTGTGCTGTAAGTTTTAACGACAATAGCAGACTCACATGCTAATTAGACCATTATCCCAGCATCGTTTTCTAGCAGATGGTTAATAATGCTGTTAGAAACCTTAGCCCAGAATTGAATATTAGTGTAATTTGTAAGGCATTTTATACCGTATTCTCCTGCCATTACATTTTCTCCAAGTTTGAAATCAGAGTACTTCTAAAATTCAGATCGGATGTAGTTTCTACAATGAAATGGCAAATCCATTAAAAGGATGTACTTACATTCACATATATTTACTATATGTGGGTTTGTATTTTATAATTGTGACATTTAAGTGCTGCTGTTGATTATTACGGTGAAAAACATCACTTGGGTTCTGAATGCTTTTGATGGAGAATCCTTGAATTCTGGATACCTTTTGCTTACTCACAGAAATCTTAGATCTGAAAAGAATTTTCAAATTCACCCATGTGTCTGTATTCTAATTTTACCTATTTGGAAGTAGAGACCTAGAAAGTTGAGTAACTTTCTCAAAATCTGAAGTGGTTGCAGATTTAGAACTGATCTTCTGCTTTCAGACTGCAGGGGTTGCTATCATTAATTTGATATCCTGTTTCTATGAAAAGCCCTGTCCTGGAACTAATAAAAACATTATTTAAAGTAGTTATCAGAACACAGAACCTGGGAGTATAGTTCTGGCGAGTCTCGGGAGAGGTGAGGGTTTGAATGTACACTGGACCCTCGGTGGAATTTCCTTCGGGCTGAACCTGGAGGATGCAGCTCCTCAACGTTTTCTGGGTCGGTTCCCAGCATCACTGCACGCAAAGGTCGCCGCCACGCACGGTGGGGCTTCAGGAAGAACAAATGTAAGAAACGTCTGGAGTCTTTGCCTGTTTCGGTTGTAAGCACTCCTGAAAGGAAGCTTGTCTCAGTCATTTCCCTTGATTTAGTGTGTGGGACCCCGTGGTTTGGTGAGGCCTCCTTTCTTGTCCAATGAAATGAAATTCTTTGTGTGGAGAAAGAATAAGAATGCTGGTGGGAAATTATTATATATATATATAAATTTACGTATGTTGTGATATGTAATCCATATTATTTATATATATATGCATATATGCAAAGTCTGTCCAGAAAAAGCCCAGCCATTGTTAATGTAACGAGAACAGTTTGCACGACATCGGTGTCCCCTGGCAGCCAGGGAGAGTGGGCTGGAATGCGCATGTGTGAACAAGGATGACTTCACTGTACTCGTCAGGGGGGCAGTAGCATTTTGTCTTTTTCTCTCCCATTTTGGTCTGTCCTTTCTTTTCTTACCCCGTGTCATTGACTGGTGCCTCCTGCCTAGTAACAGGACATAGTGATAGCGGTAATGGTAGCAGTGATCGTCTGTAACGGTAACATTTCTAGGCGTCCGTGAGGTAACAGTAAATGAAAGCATTTCCTCCCAGTCGTGGTTATAAGTCACGCAAGGACAGGGCGAATGGCTCTCCGTTTACTGAGCGGCGGCACTCAGAAGGAACACACGTGCTCACGTGCTCTGCAACTGGTGTGTGGTGCTGAGCACACTGTTTGGGGAAATCACTAGGGAGCGCCGAATCGCGCACTTGAACTCGGTCCATTGCATGACGTGTGAAACAATACAGTATCTCTAGGGATGCTCATGTACCATTTCACTTTTCCTGTTTATACGGCGAGTGGTGTAAATAACCCAAAGGCCTCTGTTGCTGGAAGGAGTCCCTCTTGGTCATCGCGTGCCTGTCTTTTTCCGTAGCGGTCGGTCCTCTTGGCTGGTTTTCAGATTTAGAACTGAGGTCGGTACTGGGAAGCGATGTGCATGGGCTTTCTTGGTTAGGTCAGAGCATCGATATTACACCTGTTTACCTAAGAGTTTGGAGACTTTCCTTCTTTTCACATGGTTTAGAGTAGTTTAAATGTTACCAGAACTTTCCTTCAGAACTTCTTAGAACCCTCTCTACAGTCACCCAGGCCTGTTTTCTGTTTGTTTACGGACCTGTGGGTTGGAAGGACCGCCATGAAGGTGGCTCTGTGACTGCTGTCGCCTCGTAGTGTTGACCTACTTAAGCTGAGTCCCCCCTGCTGACCTGTGGGGTGATCCCCCATTGCGGAGTCCTGGTTTGAGAGGGTGGCTCTCGTCTTGGATTCCGTGTCCTGGGACAGCGAGACGCCGCCCTTCCCAGATTTAGACCCGAAGGGCTGTGCTGCGTGTTTTACGGTGGCAGTGGTGACATTACAGACTTCAGGTGTGCTTGCTGTGCTCTGCAGACCAAGGCAACGGCTGGCCGAGAGAGAGCCCAGTTCCAGCGCAGGCCGTGGGCAGGCACGGTGCTGGTCCTCCTCGTGCACGGCAGGCGGCAGTGATCTAGGGAGTGGCGTCTTTGTGTAGCATCTGCGGTGTGCTCGCTCGCAGAAGGCATGAAAGTCACACGGCGAGGGAGAATACATGTTATGAATGCCAAATTAAATTAAATGCCGGGGTAATATATGTACTCAGATATATTGAAGCATACAGTTTTACATCCTTGTCTAGGGGAGAGTAATTTTGAAATAATTTTCAGATGACGTGGAAAGTAAGTATTGATTCAGTTACCCCTCTTTCTGCCCTGAATTTGCAAATTAATACCGAGAGCTAAATCTGTTGCAGCAGTATTTTTTGCTTTTCCATACAACTTGGGCTACTATGCTAATAAATGGAGAGCCTAACACCGTACTCACGGCGGTGCAGAAAATGATAATGCTGATCTAGATGTAGGTTATAGTAACTATTTCAAAGCACGTGAAGAAAGAAGTATGAGAGTTGATAAAACTGTCCTGGATTCTGTTGAAGATGTGTTGACAAAATATTCTTTCCTCTTCTCACAGATTTGTCTAAAAACAGGCTGGTTGAAGTTCCGTTGGAGCTGTGCCATTTCGTGTCCCTGGAAATGCTTAACCTGCATCACAACTGCATCCGGGTCATCCCCGAGGCCATCGTGAACCTGCAGATGCTGACCTACTTAAACTTGAGGTGGGTGAATGCTAAAGATGGTGATAAAATGCAAGTCAAAATATGCTTTCATTTCTATCAGTTTTTTTTTCTCTTTGAAACTGCTGATCGCCCTTGGCAGTAAATCGCACAAATATCATTTAAGAAATACATTTTCTGATCCATTCATAAAGCCATTCATATTGTTTTTGGTGCTAGACTTTTCCGAATGTCAATACGATAAGTTGTTTTTTTTTTAAATAATTTACATGACAACATTTATACTTTTTGTCTCTTGGGTGCTTGGAGGTTCTTGGTATGTGGTCTTCAGGTGTTGGTATAGATTTTGGGGGAGGGAAGTAAGAAGAACGTGGGGATCTGGTCAAAAACTGCCCTACACTCAGCCCCGTGTAGGCAGGTGCGCTCATAAATCACAAGTCATGAAACGGGCAAATGTGTTGAAAGAGTCTCTCAAAAACATTCACTAAAGCCAAATGCAGCCTCTCACAACAACACCAGCTGGTCCACTGATCCAGATGGTCTCTTAGAACACTCGCCTAGCAGGGGAAGCCGGTACTACAGGGGGCCTGACCTCCAGAAGATACTTCCTTTTTTGGGGGCGGGTCCTTCCTCCTATATTTTAAGTGGCTTTAACTTCTTTTTGGTAAGTAAGATATAGGTTGCTGCTAGGATAACCTAGAGGCTCATCGTAGACCGAGCTTCCGTTTGTCCTGGTTCCTGGTCCATCTGACCAGCCGGAGCTTTCTTGCATGAGAACAGACCAGACTCCGTCAGCTCTGCAGAGCGTCGGTTTCGTCGGGACGGCCCGCCCGGTGCAGCCAGCACGTCCCCAGAACATCTGGCCTCTGGTCCCAGCCCACGCAGGGGGAGTGTCCCCAGGGGATATCGGCCGGTCCGCGCCTCCTCCTGTCCTGCTGCGGTGTTTTGGCCTCTGGCAGTTCTGCGTGTGAGCAGACAGATGGAGCTTTGCATTGAGTCCATGTGCACGGAGGGGCGTTTGGCTGCGGATGACATTTTTCTTCTGGGATGAGACCAAGTGTAAAATTCTACAAATATGAGGTCATCTCATTTCAAAATTTGTTAAGTGTTCTGCTTCAAAGGCAGTAATAGAATTGCTTCGGGTACGGTTTTCACGTTGAGCCTTGTTGAGAGTAGAATGGTGGAAAGAACGTTCTGGAATATGGTTCCCGGCCCTTCGGGACAGGAACAGAGAGAAGCCGGTGGAAGGGACGGTGGCAGGGGAGGGACCGTGTGGCCCACAGTCCCCAGGTTCGGCGATGAATTCCTGGGGGGACGGAAAGGGAGAAAGAGGTGAAGGGGCCTTTGTGTACCCTGCTCTTTAAGCTCTATTTTCTGTCTGTGATGCTTTAATTTGTTGTCTGCCTCTGTCTTTTCTCCCCTCCATAGAGGTTATTTTTTGTTTTGTTTGGTGTTTCTCTGCTCTGGGGACGGAAAAGGGGCCTCCCGGTAAACCCGCCAAGCCCAGGGGCGGCCTGCACGGTGGTGTTACAGCTGAAGAGACCGACAGCAACCACAGAGGGTGCTCTGACATGAAAACTTCTTAACCAAAGCCTAGTCATGGCCAGTAGTTGAGTCCTAGGCCCGGATAGTCCTTGACAAAGGTCGATCTTGACCTTCACGGAGCCCGGCCACTGTCTTTGCATCTCCAGCAACATCCCTTTGGAGTGTCAGGGTAATTTCCTTTTCCAGACCCCTTAGGGAACAGTGTCCCACCAGAGCAGAGACCACAAATGCCCTCGTTTTTACTGTTTGTGTGTTGATTGTTAACTCTCCTAGACTCACCTAGGGAAAAAAGTAGGTGTTCACCAACCCCAGAGGTTTCCCTGCTTTGCTTTCTCCCACCTCCCTAAGCTGTCACCCGTGCATTACACGTTGCTGTCCATGGAAGTCAGGCTCTTCCACGGGGTCACGAGGAAAGCGTTCCAGGTGCCCACCCCCAGGGAGACAGTGGTGTGGCGTCCTTTATTTGTGTGGAGACAGAAGCTTGCCCCTGGTTCCCCGTGTCCCATCTCCCTCCGTCTCACCATGGCAACAGTCCAACCCTGTGTCTGCAACAAGGCCGGAGCAGAAGCCAGTGTCCGGAGTTTCTGCTTCATCTTCAAGCTCAGCCCTTTGGAGCCTGCTGGTGGCCGCCCGCCCAGCGGTCTCAGTGCCCATTTGAGTGGCTTAGCTGGTGTCGGCTGCTCCGGTGGCGGGTGCTAAGGAGAGAGAACGTGGGAGCACACTACTGGGTAGGAGGGGGACGGGGAGAGAGAGAGAGAAAGACAGTTTGGGATGGACCAGGTGCTTTTCATAGGAACCAATGAACTTCTCAGGCTTTCATGGGCTTTGAATGGGTTTGTCCCCTAAGGCAGATCTACCGGCCCCTGTGGTCCAGCACCACCCCCTGCGCCCCCAGCAATCTGGGACCTGAGCGGGGAAAGGAGGAGCGTTGATCCCATTGGCGGAGCAGTGCTGTGGTCCCCTGGGAGTGTGAGGCTCCAGCTTCTTGGCTAGCAAGCAGGCTGGCGCTCCCCAGTTTGTGAAGTTCAGTGTCTAGTTCTCTTTGCTCCCCTTTTCTGGCCGAATGCCGATGGTAACATGGAACCCCCTTATGTGTTCTCCTTTGATTCTAATGTACAAATAAGGTGCAGAACTGCCGTTCTCCTGAGCGTTTTCTCAGTCCATTGAGATGTTGCTTCCTGGCAACTGTCGTCAGTTTGGCCCAAAGAAACTCATAAAAATTCTTTTTTTTTAAGATTTTATTTATTTATTTTCTTAGAGAGGGGAAGGGAGGGAGAAACAGAGAGAAACATCAGTGTGTGGTTGCCTCTCGTGTGGCCCACAACCCAGGCATGTGCCCTGACTGGGAATCGAACCTGCGACCCTTTGGTTTGCAGCCCGTGTGCTCAATCCACTGAGCTACGCCAGCCAGGGCAGAAACTCATTAAAATTCTTACAGGCTTAGATGTCTGACCTCGTCTCTAGTGTTGAGTTACGACTCTTTGAAGGAGTTGATGGAGAAAATGGAGAAACTAAAGGGAGAAAGTTAGGAAAGAGGACGGCTCTTACTCTCCAGAGGTGTATTGTGTCAGGGTAGGTTATGAATGTGTGGCCCCAGCCGGTGTGGCCCAGTTGGCTGGGCATCAGCCTGTGAACTGAAAGGTCACAGGTTCGATTCCTGGTTAGGGGACAGACCTGTGTTGCAGGTTCTGTCTCCAGTTGGGGTGTGAACAAGGGGCAACCAATTGATGTGTCTCTGCCTCTCTCCCTTCCTTTCCTTCTCTCTAAAACCAATAAGCATGTCCTTGGGCAAGGATGAAATAAAATAAAACAAAAATGTGTGTTCATCCTTTCAACTGTTATGATATCTTCTGTCAAATTGACTTCGTGGGCATGAAGTAGGAGGGCCGGCTTTAAAGTGGCCGGGAGACGGGCCCCTTGTTTGTTCAGTTGTAAGGCCTTGACCTCCTGCTCGAATACCGGGTTCGGTGAAACCTGCCTTCTAGGAATTGGACTCTTGGAACTGGGTTATTTCTCTGGGAGCGCTTTGAGGTAGACTGCCGTATTTGCCTAAAGGATTTATGTGTCACACATGTCTCTGGTCAAATAGGTAGTCGTTGCCAGAAAATTCCAGGGCCATTAAATTGCCCGTTGTCCAAGGTGTTTGGTGACATCACTCGCACGGTGGTGGTGTTGGCTGTGTGAGCTCTTCCTGTCCTCGAACAGACCCCCGACAGCCAGGAGGGGTTCAGCCTACGGTGCTTGTGTGTGACCGTGACGTATGACCCCTCCAGGACAGCCAGGGTTGGGCACGGTGGCCTTTTCATGTCTTTTCTGCCCCTCGTGAAAATTGAGTCAGCAGAATAAAGTGTGTTTCTTCTTTGGTTGGGCCAAGAGGCTAGGTGGGCCCGTGTAGACTCTTGGCCTTTGGAGGAGAGGCTGTTAGCCCTTTTGCCGTATCTTGCCGTGTGTAACTCGCATCCATGTTTTTGTCCCAAACTTTCAGGAAAAAAAAGTTTCATTTTAATTTTTTTAATTCAGTTTTTTTATTTATATATAAAACCGATGATTGTATTCTAGCGTATTATTTTGCATACGGATATCATTATTGCTTCCTAGAGTTACACTTTTAACGCAGACGCATAAATAAATTTATGTAGACACAGAATTAGCACTACCCAGGTAAAATGTGTATCCTTATTTTTGCCTCAAAAATCTGGGCAAGAAGTGCGCATCATACACGGCAAAATACGGTACTTGAGAGAAAGAAGCGAGGGACCCGGATGCTGCGAACACAGTGCCTTGGGAGGACTTCTGAGTCGCCTTCCACCCAGGGTCCTGTCTGTGGTGTCATAAATGGGGCGCCGTGTCACAGGGAGCTTGCATTCCGGACAGGGTGGACTCCAGTCACGGCACCGTCCCTCACTGAGACGCAGTGGGGGAGGCTCGCTGAACTTCAGGATGCTGAAGAAATGCCGTGAACTGCCTTGGAGCACACACTTCACGTGGACGCGTCTTAGACAGTCCGTTCTGGAAGAGCTTGAACCAGCAGGCAAGCTCATCAGGTTTGGGAGATAAGCCCCTGAGAACACTTCCTTTTCTGCGGGACTTAGAATTGTTCCTCGTGTGTCTGTGAATAGGAGTGAAACATCGTTAGGTACACGAGTGCAGAAAGAAAAGCGGCTTTTTAGATTTGCAGTTTTCATGTTTCTGCTCTGAAAATCAAACCTGGTGTTTCTCTAGTTAGCACTTCCTTCTCTTTTTAAGTAAATCTCACGTAGACGTGACTCACCGTGTGTGTTTCAAAGCAGGAGAGCTGCCGCATGAGGCTACTTTGCATGTGCGGGAAACATGCAACACAGATGATGCCCTGTGAGCCATGTTGGCTTTCCCAGCAGAGTAAAGCCATGAATATTTGATGCCGATGGTGACGGCGATGACAACAGAGATGATGGGAGTGGCGGTGACAGGTCACTGCCCCGGCCCAATCTCTCGGCTGATAGCATCTGTCAGGGACG